GCACTTATAATACCAGTACATTATGCCATTGGTATACGAGGGCTGTAATTTAAATTCAAATAATCGAATAGTTCGACTAATTTATCGAACTATTCTAATACTCATTAATAATTGAATACTTAATATTCGACTCGAGTAAGTGAATAGTTGAATCATTCCCATCACTAGTGCATACATAAAGTTTTATATACACATATTATATAATATATATATATATATATAAAACTTTATAATAATTATGTCTAAATACCTATGTTGTGAAATAAATAGTATGTATAACGGCATCGTCGTACGGATAAATACCAAAGACGATACGTGCATTACAAAAACGAATTAATAATGACTGTACTTAATAGAGATGTAGCAGGCAACGAACAACTTTTTTCTTATAAAATCGTTAAAATTAAAATCTGAATAACTACCGATTTTTTTATTAAGCTTATAAGCGTAGCAAGCGATTAAGTATTAAACTAATTTTAATACTTAATATATAAATGTGAGATTTATTCTTACCGCCAAATATTCAATTGCTCTTTTTAAATAATAATCTTCAAGTAGTATAAATAATGTGTGTAGAATAAATTTTAACCCGAAAAGCCATTGAATCATTTATGAGTTATTTAAATTTATATAAAACAACCGGTTCACGTTCCCATGCACAATACATCGCACCGTCAGAACATTAGTGCTGCAACTCAGAGATTATAGATTTTAAAAATCACGTTTAAATGTACCTATTAATTTACGTTAAACTGTTAAAAATAAGTTTAAATATATAATATAATTATTGTATAATATCATATTGAAATTAAAATTTTTATACTCTTTTAGGTATTTCTGAACTCACTTTTTTTAGTATTCCACTAATGTTTAGACGATACAACATTTGCAGTGTTATATAGACAATTGTATAATTGTTTGCAAACACAGCATTAACATATGTATTTACAAAGTGTTAATTTATTGAACAAAATGTGTCTTATCAGTTAATAAATAATCACTTATAGAAAAATATACAGATCGCTTATACATAAATAAATAAACAACAGACAAGTTTAATGTAAACGTTTATTTTATCAAGACAATCATATGAAATCTCATTTTGATAATAAAATTTAATAACAATAATAATAATCATAATCATAAATTAGCGATTTGGTGGAATAATGACGAAGCCCCAAGATAGAATGTCCGGTTCAAGTTCTAAAATTTACAAATTTGAGTTTTACCATAAATACTTTTTTATTGATAAACCCATTGACGGTTAATAAGTATTTGAAATGTGTATAGTGCCTTTTAAATATCTTGTCGGGTTCTAAATTATTCCTGTCAAAACGAAAAACTTATCAGGTACATGTAAATAGTTGTTCAAAGCATACAACATTAGTGTCAATAAAATTATTTAATATTATACGGGTTAACAATACGAGAAATAGTAATTTTTAATCTCTATAAATACTTAATAATTGTTCGGCATGAAACATTTCTAATTGTTAATATGTATTATATATATATATATAATACCTTAACAGCACACAAATATTCAAGTGTCCATCGAGTTCTTATGAGTTCCTCTTACGATTTAAATGATAACTAACTATATTATCACAGATGAGATAATTTATTTTTATTAGACAATTTTTTTTATTTTTCACAGATTAGAATCTGTGATATTATTATGATATTGTATGCTTGAATCTACGATCACACTGATTTCATTTTAAATCATGTGACGTCATGGTTTTTGCTTACATTCCGAGTGAGCTATCTGTTTTCATACAGTCTGTGACCCTACTACAAAAGGTCGTAATTTGGACAGCAGCCTAAAGACCGTTTAAACCTTCCCAGACCGGCATGGAAACTTAACGGTAATTTTCATTTTTTTAAAATATTTTATAAGTTATAACATGCAGACTCACATATCTACTTTGTAAATTTTATGAACTAATGGGAATTTAGTATCGACATCTGTTGTGTAAAATATAACGTATATACAAACAAAATAACGCTTCGTTTAACACATATGTATATAAAGCTGCAATGTATATTAAACAAAAATATATATATAAACTGGTACACATTTTTTTATAATAACTGCTTACTACAGTTTAATATATATTCTAGCCACGAGAGAAGAAACCCGTGCATAAACCAAAACGCCTTCTTTTGGCTGCGCAGGCGCATACTAGAGTAACGCGTTTTAGTTTCTGCGCAGGTTCCTTCTTTTGAGGCCCAAACAAACGAAATTTCACTTGATTGAAGACGATCAAAGACCGCGTGTTATCCTCAAAACGGTATTGTCTTGTGAACCATGATATTGTGCCGTTTAAGGTTCTGCTTTTGTGTGAACGGGCGACCACAAACGGTACACCTAAACTTGGGTTCCACGCCGCACTCATACTTCAAATGAGATCCTAAATTCGCCCGATACTTGTACTTCTTGCCGCACTGGGTACAGACGAAAATATACGCATTACGGTTCGAATCTGAAATCGCGTAAGTACACCATGTATACATGAAACTATGGTCACATCAAAATCTATTTAATCTATCATATTGGCGATTGAAAAAAGCAAGTGTTAATCAACGTTACAGGGAGCGTGGTAAAATAACATGTAAAAGTTATCTCAGACCGTCCGTTACAGTAGTAAGCTCTTAACTTTCACTTGCCAATAGCTATGGTGACAAATGACATTAACAGGTTCACAATAATAGTTTACAGTGTACTCAGCAATAGCACACAAGGGTATATCAACGGCCTAAATGTTTGCATGGAGATAAATGGTAGGTGGTTAAAATGTATTTACCCCTGTGAGAGTGCACTGAGTACAACGTTCTAGATGACCATATGAGCTAATATACATGTGCAACAACGATATTAAAAACAAATTATGTTTAATAATAGTAATAATTGCTTTATACTTATATTATTTTAATAAATATCGTTAGTCATACACTTCAATGTGTTTATATGGTAAACGAAATTACAAACAAAATATAAAATTAACGTACGATTTGTGTCATTACGTTTACTACTATCAGCTGTCAATCTTGACAGCTCAATATTAAGCGGACAAATAGTTGTACAAAATTAAAAACAACCCTAGATCATAGTAGTATGTTCAACGTTTTGTGGACGTTTATTATGTGTCGCTTTAGGTGTTGTTTCCATGTGAATTGACGGCCACAAAAGTTGCACTTAAACTGTGGTTCTACGCCGCACTCGAGTTTCAGATGACTGTTCAGGCTAGCTCTGTGTTTGTATATTCTACCGCACCGGGGACACGGAAATGTAAACTGATCGAAATCTGAAAAAACCATAATTGCGTTGAAAAATACGAAAAAAATACGAGTGCATTGTTCTAAAAGCTATTATACGGTCCGAGATGGACTTGTACGGAAGGTACTCGATAAAGTGAGGGTATACACGTATGCCTTAGTACATCGATTGTAAGGTAGTAGCAATTAACCAAACACAATTAAATACCGAGATGCCAAACTATAAGCTATAAGTCTAAATTGGCATACTAAAACAAGTTCGTCTAAATCTTTTTATTCAATTATAGTGTAATGCAATAACATCAAATGACGTTTGAGATGAGTTTTCTGGTGAAATCTTCGCCAACAAATGGTACAATGGAATTTCGGATCGACCCCACATTCAAATCGCTGGTGTCTGCGTAAGCTCGGTTTGTACTTATACAAGTTACCACATTTTGTGCACTGGTATTGTGGCTGAACAATAACTGTAAACACAAATTGAACCATGAAAAATGCTTTATGTTCGCATACATTACTATAGGCTATCCAACGTGTAAGTAATTAGTCATTACCATAATCGTTACGTTTAACGAATACATCTAAAGCGCTATGTAACTATTATAAAATTATTAAAGTAATGTGTCACTAGACCATTGAATTTAAATTTGACATTTTCATCTTTTTTTTTAGTGACAATCACTTTTTTACTAATTTTGGTTTGTTAAACGATGTACACTTGATATAATTTAATTTTAAAAGGAAGCCAGGACTATGAGAATTATTATCAGTAAGGGTGATGAAATCATTAAGAAAATGTGGATCTATAGGCGGTACAAATTTTAAAATCCACAAAATTGTTTAAAGGCAATAAAGTGCTTAGAGACATGTTTAATAGATGTTCTACAAAAAAATTCGATTCAATCTGGTCATTCTTGACAGAGTTATAGCAAATCAACGTTGAGATCTAAAATCCCGAGAAAATTTTAATTTTGGATTTTTCTGTTTTTGGAATGAAATAGTTAAATTTTTATATTTTTGACTCACCATAGTACCAAACGCATACGATTTTGGATCGGTATCCACGCTACTCGAGTAAACCGATCTTTAAGAAAACAGTTATCGTACCTTCATACAAAAAAAACGCATCATTATAAACCAATACCTTCTCATCGGAGCTAAAATAAATAATCTTGGTAAAAAAAAGACCAATTCTAATCAAATAATGTACCGCCCAAATTGTTTTATATCTACCTATATGCGTATTAGAATATTATAAATACCTGAACGGTAATCTAATTTTAAAAAAACTTGTTTTTTTAGTATTAATATTTCTACCTATCCAGCCATTGGAGTTCCATCGTTGGATGGCATCTTTAAACACGTCATACACAGCTAATATTATATATTTCTTATTGTATACATATTTTAACTTTAAAGATTGTATATTTTTCTAATAAAAAAAAATAAATATTTTACCTCATATTTCATGGTAAAATTGAAATAAAACAACTATTTTATTAAACAAAGTTTATTTAGGTATTATCACACATGGTTAACAATATATAAATATATATATATATATGCTTTAGAACATCTTAAAAAAATATATATAAAATTGGTGTTGACAACAAAGAGTAAATATTTAGTAGGTATTTTAAATTAATTAAGTACTGATTAATTAATTTTCTGCATAATTTTTTATTTTTCATTCTAGTAAGTCGTAAATTAAATTACACTCAGAAAACCTAATAATTTATATTAACTAATAATATATACTAAGCTGTTTTGATTATAGTATAATTTATTCTTCATTCTTCTGCTGTTGTAGCTTTCCAACAGCAGAAGAATGAAGCCTAAATTATATGGGATTTTAAATATAATTGACCTCTGATAATAATTAAAATAGAGAAACTCAATTTAACGTTTACGTTAATATCTTGTGAACAACCATTACATGATTACGCATATGAGTTCTACGAGCAAATTTTTTTTGGCATATTTCGCACTGGAACTTCCTATCTACTCCACACTCAAACTTTAAATGATTTTGTAAAGTTGTTCGGTGTTTGTAGATTTTGTAACAATTGTGACAAGTCCAGGCTTCTTGTAGTACTTGGGCAAACATGCCCCCTGTAAAATAAAACATCTTATCAATTTCATAATATATATATTTATATTTTGTCAAAACTAGTTCCTTATTTTTTAAGACAAAACATAAAAAAATGTTTGTGGTAACTGCCTGCGCCTAAGCAGACCGTAGTGATTCAGCGTTTCAGTTTCTACGCATTACCGTTCTCTCGTTAGACACAGTATAAAAATAGTAACAGATAAACAATATAAAATATACACAGTTTTTTATTATAGTACTCTGTACAAATTATATAAATTGTTCTAATACATAATTATTTTACTTTATGCATGTATTATTACGGCAGTAAGTTTTAATCAACGTCTAACAAAAATCCAGACTTTGTTAACAACTAGCATCGACGTTTTACCGAATTTATTACTGAACGACGGTTTCGTTGTTCATCACATTGTATCCGTGTATCATAAGCATGTGTCTTTTCAAATTATCCGGTCGTTTAGCCATTTTGTCGCAAAAGAAACATTTAAATTGAGCTGTCTTACGACACTCGTACTTTAAGTGTCTGTAAAGACTATTACGCGAATACAGTTTACCACATTTCTGTGGACACATGACTTTGTCTTTACTTCTGTCGTTAGGAAACACCATCCTGACATCTAGTTCTGAAAAAAAAACACAAGAAGAAAATTAATACAATGTTGCTACGTCGACGCCCAAACTATAAAAGCGTAATTTTATCATAATACTATTGTCTACAACTATGACGCGCGTGTTGACTATATATCAAACAAGATACATAAATAATGAACTATATTATCACAAATACATACTTGTTTGAGTTTTAAACATACTACAGAAAACGGTATTAGCATGTTAGTAGAAAGTTTTCGGTTAAATCCAATCTCATCTTACCTAACCTATAAGTGATTGGAAATTGTAATAATGTTGGGGTTTCGATGTGTTCAAGATCTATTTGATTTTATTGAGCAACTAGAATCGATTAAATACCTCTAGCGTAAGTACTTAAAAACCTCGAGCGTCCGTCGAACTCAAGCGAATTGGGCGACAATTGGCCTTCCCAAAAAAAAAATATATATATTAACTAAGCAGCATTTATGTACAGGTACTTATAAACCACAATGTTCTTCTAGCAAAAAAAATTGCACAAACAAATTGGAATTCACAAAAAAAAATTTAAGCATGTAATAAATTATTCAGTTATATTATAAAGAAAATAGAATATATTTTGAGACAGTAATAATAATAAAAAAATATATACATACATCTTATATGGATAAGAACAAATAAAATATTTCAAGGGCCTCGAGGAAACCGATAATAATTTAATAGTGATTTATCGTGGGTGGTGATCTTTTATCCACAACTCGATTCGTGGATCCATTTGTTCGAGAACAAACCACTGGATGGTGTAATTAGCTAATTTTTACGAAAAATCTACAATGGTCGTTTTTCTCCGCATCCCTTTATTTGATAACGCTTAAGAGAACGTTATACCCCAAATTCTCTAGCGTAAACCCGACTACGCAGAATGCATTGTACTCGGACCATGATAGTTTTAGAGCAAAAACCCACATAATAATAAAATAACGTGAAAAAAAGTTATACCTAACTATTATATAAAAAAGGAAAAAATATAATTTTAAATGTAAAATATTAAGCTAAATATTAGGTTTATCAAAAAAAGTCATAATATTCTATCCAAAATCATCATCATCCAATATTTCATTTTTTTTAAATGTGTTTTTGCTTTAAAACCACTATGAACCGAATAAAACGCATTCTTCGTAGCTATGATTGTCTGAAAAATATTTAACTACCAAAATAGATTTCTAATCGATTTCTGAACTAATTATTCACACATTGATGCTTTAATTTAATTTTTTACAAACAGTTGTCCATACCGAACTCCTTGAAAATAAAGGGTATCACGTCTTCTTAAGCAAGATTGAATAAACGAAAATAAAGAAAATATTATTATCTATATAATACAATTGTGGATTCTTATCATGTGTATCTTGTGATTTATGCGCTGTTTGAACGCCTTTCGACATACGATGCACTGAAATTTCGGATTAACCCCACATTCGTATTTCACATGTCTAGCTACGCTACCCTTGTGCTTATACTTACGGCCACACTTATTTGGGCAGTGGATCTCTTCGTCTCCATCAGCCGATTGGGGGCCTCTTCCACCTACAGACAATCCAATCCCTAGTAATGCAACAATTATACAAAACATACTACTTCTCGTCTATTTAAAGTAATACATTATAAAAGACGGTATAGATATGTAATCACGTATGTGATACACGTATATTTCATGTATCGAAAAGCGTATAAAGATAATAATAAATATCAAGCTCCCTCTATTTATGTATTATCACATGTATGTATATAATACGTATATATAATATGAAGGGCTGCGGGGGAAAAAGATCAATGTCAATTTTTTAACATTCTGAGAAAATCATGTTTTTTTTTTCAAAACGTAATACATTTTGCCTGTATGCCTAAACTTCCGGCGGTCGTTACTCTCGACTAAACTATTTTTTTCCCTGGTTCGAGCGCATAAAAGATACAATACATCAGTACAAATAATTTGATACCAAAATCTCATTTTCAAAAAAAAATTGACATTGATCTTTTTTCTCTGCAGCCCTTCATATGTGTTATAATAGTCAAACGATTAATTCGGTTAAGTTGTTTATACACATAAAAAAGCCAAATAGTTTAGTTGTATGTGAAGATTTAAGAGATTGCGCGAGTATATCATAAAGGTATTTTCTTAGATACAATTACAAAGCACCATAATTATAATATAGTACACATTAAGGATGAAACACTAATAGGATTGCGATAAGTAAAATTCTCAAGTAGACTAATCGATCAAAATTAAGTTAATTTTGTGATAAGGCTTTAATACATTTTTAGTTTTTATGGACACCAATATGCAAATTACAAAATCGATACTCGAGAAGTCTCTTGAAGTCTGTAATAGTAATACTAAAATTAATTTAGATGCAGATCATTTAGAAAGGAAAAGGAAGGGTACATTATAAATGAACCAACGATATAGTTTTAAAAGTTACCTGTAAATATGAACAGCGCGACCAATTACATAAGTTGATCTACCAATTTTATAAAATAACGGACAATTTTGACTAATCAATAACCAGTTTTAAATTATTATATTTAAAGTAATTTAAAAACTTCCTCTTCAAGCCATTAATAAAAAATTCACAATATTTTTTACACTAGTGATATCCACATTAATTAGCTAAGTAAAGGTGACACACTGTGTGACCATTCACCTCCGAATGTATCATGTAAACTACATTTGTTTGCCAAGTTAGTTACCAACTACGCTCGAGACAAGTACGTCGTAAGTCCGTAGTTTCGTTTATTTTGTAATTGTGTTTTTATATAATGCAATTAAAGTTTAAAACGCTTAAGTCAAATAATTGTTTATAAATCATTAATAACACTAGTATCAGAATTAATAATGTTATAGCTGTATAACTCTATATAATATGTAATACGTAAGTAACTCAGAACAGAACTGACATAAGCCTCTAGTCACGAAGCGTAAAAAAACTATCCTTGCCAAATAATTATAAAATAGCAATTTTTGTAATTTATACAGATTACCGTATACCATAAATCATAATATAGCCACTGTACTGTTGTCAAAAATTAAAACCAAATATTTTGAAAAAACAATTGTAATAGTTAGCGGTACATTGTAGCATTGTACTTACACATGATTATTCTATAACTTTTTGGATAAATTAGACAGTTGAACGGCATTAATTAATTAATAACAACTAATAATCCATACGAAAAATGTACAAAGTTTATTTAAATACAGATGCTGCAAACAACATAAATAATACATCTAAATAATTAATAATATTAAAACTAATAACAAATAGCCAAGTGGAAACACTTTACAAGTAAATTAAATATATATATATATATATATATATATGACATTAAAACTTTAGAATGTGAATTATTAATGGCTCTCAAATTATTAAAACTGATATCGCAATCAATCAACACTCTTTCGTATTTTCTACTATCTATACATTTTTACCATTCCTTATATACGTATTATACTTTTTCTAAATAAGTCTCCAAAAAAATATACTCTTCTTCAAATAATTTACTGATATAAAAAACGATCTCCATAGAGTAAAAAAATATAATAGTATATACTATAATGGCTGTTCTCGCCAGTTAAGCTTAAAAATAAGTATAGATTAATTAAATTAGAATTATAAGCTAAGTTATATTTAAATGTTTAGCCAAACTAGTGAGAACGTCCATTAAGCATAAAATATACCTATGTCACTTGGATAAGTGATATTCAACAACTATATTGACTCAATATTCAATACAACCTTTTTAACAATTAACAATAATAAGGTTTTGTTCCTGAATAAAAAATTCTAAACATTCGTTGTAAACGTAATGAAAAACAATTGGTACTAATAATAATTTTTTTTTTATTATGACAAATAAAGAACAGTCATACTTATAAGACTTTTGAAAGGAACTAAGTCTTATAACTATGATTTTTTAAAAGAATAAAACATGCTACGAGTTCATAATTAGATATTAATCTAACTGATAATAAACAATAACAGTAAGTAACAAAACACATAAAAAACGTTACACACTTGACGTTGATACTTTTAAGATTATGGTAATGTTGAATGTATATTTAAAACATTTTCAATATCTTGAGTATAAATTTTGTTTTAAAAAACATTATTTCAATAAGATCTATTTTGATTAGATACACAAATATATTGTTTATTGAGGACATTAATATATATTTAGTTAATTAAATTACCAAGTATGATAATACAATAAAAAAATTATTAGTTCATTTTTCTTTTATGTAACAATGTGATTTTGAAATTTTACTAATTTGTTATGGTCTATAATTGTATATAATTACTAGGTATGAAAAACGTTTTCTTTATGAGACTTCCTCTCACTTTTGTTGATACCGTGTATTGATGCTAAATGCATCTTGTACGTTTCAGGTTGTTTGTACAGCTTACTACAAATGGGACATTGAAATTGAGGCGACACACCACATTCATACTTAAGGTGGCGAACTAATCCTTTTTTGTACTTGTACTTGCGACCGCATTGTTTTGGGCAATAAAAAAAGTCAAATTTGCGTTCCACGTTATATCCTGCAACACGGGGAATTCCCGCAATCGTAAAAACTTAAAAAATATTGATAATAAAACAAAAGTACAAGCGCAAAGTATAAGCTGGTAGGAGTATTAAGCAAATAATAAATATAAGAAGATAACTCGAAATATTTACAACAAAAATTACACTATAAGTTAATACAAATATATATAATAATTTTAATAAAAAAACCTTTAAAACGTTTGATTTTGTTTTATTTTTTCATCATCATCATCATCAGCTTAACGGGCCTTTAAGACCCAACGCTGTTATCATGAGATGGTTTCTAGACGGATTCGCTATCCGGGACAGGGCGTTAGTCCGTCGCTGAAGAGGAGGATGGCAGCTCCTTGTCACCGGACGATTGCTCGCCCGACAAACGAAGCGCCCGTGACCGAGTGTCGAACTGGCGACAGTGAGCGCAAGTGACTTACCGCTAACACAGTGTCACCTTACCCACTCGGCCACTCCTCCTCCTCTTTTTGTTTTGTTTGGCAAAAATATATTTTTGTTAACGTAATTAATAAATATTGTCTTTTATACATTTCTTTCAACATTCAAACTTTACATTATAATTAAAAAATACAATATCAAATAAAAAAACCAGAACCTACAAACACATTCAATAAATTATCTTTATTTAAAGAAATAAAATCATATGACACATTATCTCTAAAACACTAGTCGTATTTACTGAAATAAAATAAGGCTATGTCAATATATGGAGTTTTGTTTCCAATCAAGTATAAACTTATCATAGTTACTTAAATCTAGAATATAGAAACAATAATTAACACTTACCATAATATTTAAAAATCAACATCACAATCAAGTGATTGAAATAAAATTGTTAACATCAACCACAAAAGTAAAATACACGGAAAAAATATTTTTAAAATAAATCGCCTTCAGATAACATTTAAAATATAGTACGTACCAAATAAAAATAGTAGAATAAATATGGTAATCAATAACACTAGTAATAGTAGGTATTATAAATATTATGGTAGATTGAGCCTATTGATACAATACTCAATAGCAATGTACCATTTTTTTAAATTTTATTAATTATTTGAAATTTTGTACCAGGAATTAACATAATGACTCTATTTATTTTAGAACATTATATTTACTATGGTTTGATTTCAAATATTATTAATTTTGATTAATCTACAGATTGATAAAATAGTTTATTGAACACAGCTAGCTATTACAAACTAGTAGCTATCTAAAAATATTTCCATTGTCTCTCGTCTTACCTTTGTTTTGATCCATTGTCATAAGTTTCTTTGGGTAACTGAAATACTAATATTTATTGTTTATTCCTATACATAAATAAGAACAATTTTTTATAATAATTGGTATTTAATTCAAAATTTAGTAATTTCCTTTGACGCACAAAATCAAAAAACCTCAAGAAGTATTCAGCTTAAGATTTGATATGGAAGAATAATTTGATATATTATTTAACATGAAGACTGTGGAGAGCCATTTCTTTGTCACAAATTTTATCAGATCTGACTTGGTTGACTATGCTAACTTTGAATTAGAAGATGGTCAGAAAATATTTATGTCCTTTAACAAAATTTCTCTCAGGTAGTAGATGTAATTTATGATTATGCAAAAAACTTAACCATACTTCATAATAAATGTATATTAATCTATAACATTAAAGTTAAAATATGTTAAACTAATCATTTTGTATTAAATATATCATTATTTCATGTTTGTCTTTTTCTGTGATTATGCCATTGTTTGATGCAAGTAATTACTGTACCTACTATGTACCTAAATATCTACTGTACCTACTTATGTATTTAAAAAAACATATAATTTCAAAAAAAAAGTTCAAGGTTATATTATAGAAAAGATTCATAAAAATAACATTGTATTCTAAGAAAAGATTTTACTTATTTACTTAGTGTTATTATTCAAATATTAATAGTAGATAACTAAATATTTATGAAATTTTTACCTGCAATATTTTAGATCTTCTGAGAGACATGGAAATATTTGCTAACAAATATAAATACTAGAAATATGTGCCACAGATGAAAAATATTCAAAGTATCTAATAAATAATGATCTAAGTTATAGAATCAATTTTTGGATACCCAAGTATTGTTATTACAATTTTAATTAGGGGAATATTTCTATTACTTTGGTTCATGTTGATGGTTAAATGTACTTTAAAAAAAAAAAATATATTTTTAAAAAATAGTGTAATATTTTTAATTATGGCACATACTTGCATGTTTAAAAAAATAGAAATTTTAAAATGTTCAAAGTATTGCTGCTAGCAGAATCAAAAAACAAAATTTTATACTTCGCTTATTACCTATTTAATTCTTTAAGCTTAATGATGTTTTGTTATTTCAAAAAAATAAAAAATATAAATAATAATATTGATACTGCCAGCTAATAACTGTGTCCCATAGAGTAATATACTCGATGCTGTATTCGTGTATGTTTAAATAAAAAACTAACCTTTAAGGTTTTTTTATGATTTCAGAATGTCACAATTAACTAGTAACGTGCGGTATCGCTACTCATTGTATTGTGGCTGTACATCAAGTTTTTGAGTAAAATCAAATAAATTAGTTTACTAAAGATTCTACTACAAATACACCAACTAAAATCAATGTTTTGTATCAACTAATAAGAACGAAATTGGTACAAGAATAAGCAGAGTGTTACAATATACCGCACATCACTAATTAAGGGTTGAGATTTCAGAACATCAGACAGCATGAAACAAAATGAAATCTGACATAAGTTTATCTGACTTGACAACATTATTGAAACTCTGAGAAACCTATACTGGTTTAATGTACTCTAATTAAAGTAGAATGGACAAAAGTGACCCATACACATGAGTGGACACTGGACCCAGTTACATTCCACAATACCTTAACATAAAAGGTAGGTATATCTTATTTTTAGGTACTTACCTTATTTGTAACTGTGCGACACATTCAAAAATGATTAAACAGCATCACACTGAAAAATAAAACAAATATAAATTAGTTTTAATACCTAACTTATAATATTACCTAATTATTATAATTTAAATAGAAAAATATAATTATCACTGGTCAATAAGTAATGTATAAAGTTATTTCTATGAGATGGACCTATTTAAATGGATCCCAGTATTTTGCAATATAACTATTATAGCTTAATAATATGTTTCAACCATTTTTAAAAGTATTTCTTTTTAACAGTTAATGTGATAAAGTCTTTTATTAGTTGAACCATACTTCTATTTTCTATAAACAAAAATCAAATTTCCTGTCAATAATGGTTGGTATGACTATCAGTAACCACAACTGAAAACTAAACATAATTTATTAGTAAGTAATAAATGTAATAAGTAAAATATATTAATAATAAACTATTTTATATGTATATTTATAACTAAATAGAAAGTTTTTTTAACATTTTCTATAATCCAAGATGTGTTGTTAGTCTTTCACCATACAACAGGATAAGTATTTTTTATTTTTACATAAATAAATAAATAAATGGAGCTGATTAAGAGTATTAAACTGGTGACAGTGAGCAATGAACTCAGCAACCGCTTTACCCACTTAACCATTCCATCATTTTATACTTAATAATTGCAATCATTTGAAGTAGGATAGATAGATCTATTTTAATTTAATTAAATCTCAGCTCATTTCATTTCATTTCAGCTCATCTCAATTCATTCAGCATGGAATAGTAAGTTAACATTACCTAGTTTTTAATGAATTATTTATAATTGACAATGTGCCTACATTTTTTATAAGATAACTTTTTTTCAATGATATGCATAGAAGGTTTGATAAACTAATTGAATAGTTTTAGTTTTATTAATGTTCAAATGCAATTTTATTTTTTTTTAAACAATTTGTATAAATGTTGCATACCTACCTATAATAAGTCATTGTGGTGAAGTTAACATTGATTTACATGAAAAGAAGCCGTCCACCGACAGTACTTTTTTATTAGCTTGATATTACTATGGGGTTATAGCAGGAGGGTAAGCCGTAAAGTGGATTAGGACAGAAGGTCTCTGCACTACTGGCATTTTGAACGGTGAGGAGCATTGTTTGGGAGAAATTGGGTGAGAATAAAATCTTTTGTAATTGCAGTTTCTTTGACTGTTGGTTTACTTAAATACAAAATTATAAATAATCAAGAAAATGTTGTATGACATTAAAAAAGAAGGCCATTAAGGCAATCTATTATACAATTAGCCATAATTGTTGCAATATAAAATAATTGATAACATAATATTAAAAATTTCTATGCGCACATGATTTATGCTGATATGAATTATTGGCTTTCAAATTAAATTAGAAACTAGCGCGTTTATATACAACATTATGCTTGCCTCATCAACCATTTAGCTAATTACTAAAATGGAAATACAGAAAACAAAGGTATGAATGAAAAATAGTTGTCAACATTTGATTATATTCTTACAATTGTCATTTAATAAATTGTAAATCTATGAAGCAATATATTACATATACAGTTTTACAATGAAAATAGTATAAGTTTATTATTTCTTTTTAATTTTCACCTAGACGCAGACATCAGAATAAAAAAACTCACCAAATAAAAAGGCAATAGCAAAATAAGTATTACATGTATAACGTAAAAAATAAGATTATTGATATACATATTCTTGTTGAACTTGTTAATACCTAAGAGTTATAATATGCAATATGTTTGTTGATGGATTAAAATTCTACTATGAAAAATTATATGTTTTGTTTTAACAAATCAATTTCTAAGACTTCAGTATGTGTTCAAATGTAGTGTTCTAGATTCTAGCTATCTAGAAACCTTTCTTGAGAGTATGTAAAAAGATGAGTAACTTGAGGAGCGAATCAAGAATAATGAATCAAACATAGATGCTACTCAGAGTGTATTAGATCTGAAATGGATTAGATAGAATTGAATATCGGTTTTAGACGATTTTAAAATTCACACTAGGTTTTTATAACGTCGGTTTATTAGTTAACAACATATAAAATAAAGAAAACAAAATTTATTGGCAGTAAAACATTTATACGCTGTTACAGTAAGTGTGGTGAGTGGATCACACCCACAATTGTCCACCTTCTAGAGCTAAATTAAGGGACCCTAGCTGAGACAGGAAGCTACCCTGTATTTACCCTAAAATATCCCTAGAGACTAAATTTATATAACCGCTCGAAGAGCAATAGGACCGGTCGTATCTTTAAGTGATAAAACGGAACTCTCAAATTGTAATATACATCGTTTATTAAAAAGGCTTAACGCCGAGTAAGAATTAAGTTATTGATAAAAATATTAAAATGACTGAAAAACTATATGTATACATTTATACATACAGGTTTTACACCTGACATCTGGTCCGTGATAATCCGGAGATAAAGCCGTAGGAGTAACGCGCACAAAAATGATAAAAAGGTGCCGGATAATTACGTAATTATTATATAAGATATTAGCGTGTAGATAGTAAGATGTAAGTGGATGCAAGTGCTGTTCACTGGTCCTCTAATCATTATAATATTATATTTATAACGCGGGCCCAGACCAAGGTGCTGTCCGACATAATAGACTTCATAGGTTTGGTTTGGGAGTAATGACAGCTACCAGCTATGCACAATATTATTATTGCTAATAATATGCAAAAAGACATTGTTAAAACACCAACGCTTCCCTTGGCAAAATTTATCAAACACAGTATTTACGGCTGTAACTAAATAAATAATGAAAATATCAATGTTTTTATTAAGAGGACCCACCTGTAATTAATAGTGTAAATGTTTATAGTACAGTGGTATAAAGCGTTGAATTTGATTGGCTAGAGGTATTAGTTTCAATCCCGTAACACAACAAAACAGACGTTGTCTGCAGACACCTTGCACAAGACTGACTTATAAAGGGGTATATCCTCATATACAGGTGGTTAGAGAAACGAGAAAATTTGAAATAACTCTCACAAACGTTTAAAAAAATTATTTTCAATATTTATTGTGGAAAACGTAGAGTACATAATATGCTATTCAAGGTTCAAAACACTTAAAACCCTTCCTGGTATTGATAATACGTGGTTTCAGCAAGATGGAGCCACAGCTCATACTGCCAGCCGTTCGACAGCTCTTTAGTAATCAAAATTCAAATCATCTCACGGTTTGGCGACATTCATTGGCCCCCAAGGTCACCTGATTTGTTGGCGTGTGATTTTTTCTTGTAGGGCAATCTTAAAAGCAAAGTGTACAGCACTCGCCCAACAACACTTCTCCAGTTGAAGACAAGAATCCAAGAAGAAATTGCTTTGATTCCCATGGAGATATTACAGAGAGTCTTAAAAAACCTCCACACACGATTCGAGGAATGTATACGGAGGAACGGACAACATCTTACAGACATAATTTTCTAAACTTGAGATTTTAGTATTTTGAACCTTGAATGGCATATTATGTACTCTATGTTTTCCACAATAAATATTGAAAATCATTTTTTAAACGTTTGAGAGAGTAAAATATTATTGATAGTAAAATATACATTCATACGTATCAATGGATATGGATACATTCAAGCGAGTTCAAACAAATGGATAATACATAGAAATAAATAATTATATATTTTTTAAACAAAAAGTAAAAGAACTTTACTCTTAAAGTGATAAGAGAATTTATTATTGATTATATTCATTATTTTTGTATGCTACTTTAACTGAAATCAGATGTAATATTATAATTGTATTTTAAAAAAATTGTCTACTAACCAAAAACTATATATACATATATATATATAGTTTTCTTAAAACAAAATAAATACTCAATAAATATTAATGATTTCAAATAATTATGATTTGCTTTTAAAATCTACAAACAAAATAATTTAAGATGTCACCAATTAATTAAACTGAAAAAAGTATAACTCTAAGTAGCCAGAAACTCCCTAGCAGCGATTTGCTCTATTGGGCTGCTCAAGCTGTTTTTTAACTATATTATATGAATACAAATATATTTATATATAATAGATACCTACAGTTAATAAATTATATAACCATTATCCAATTATCTAATTTTTGGTTAAATATTTATTTTTAAGTTGAACAAATAATGTAATTGTATGAAATCTATAAGTAGTTCTTACCAGTTAAACGTTAATCCATTCTTCAATGTGTACAAATCCCAGGAACCCTTGGTCATTAGAATATTGGAAAATTAGTTACACCAAAATGTATAAAATTTAAATTTAAACTAAATAAAGCGCACTTTTTAAAATTTTAAAAAAGCTTCTACGTTATTATAGTATCATAACTATTAATCATAATAAACATGATTTGATACAAAAAAAAACTATTAAAAATGATAAAAAGAATCATTATTTATTGTATAGTTATTATTGTTGTCTATGTAACTTTCATATCTAGTCATAGGTAGTTATTATATAACTATTAACATTATTTTAAGTCCCAATCGTTCTAGAAATTCAAACTATATTATGTTCAAACTATACTAATTCATGTCAGTAATATAAAAAATATATAATAAAATATAAAATTAACTTTTTAAAACATTATCTGTATTATAAACATATATTTTAACAACTTGCACCGTTTTCATATATTTTATAAAGTAGCCTAAAATATTTTGATATTATAATACGCGTACAAAGCTTTTTTAAAATACAAATTTACTTTATGAAAAAACACTTTATCACACTTAAGACTTATTAAAAAGGAATAAAACTATAATTTAAAATTATATATACATATTTATATATTACTTAAAGCACTTGCAATAGTATACTACATTTTACAATATCACACTAAACAACAATCATTCAATTATTTCTGTATTATAAAATGAATAACAAACTTAATTTGTAAAATATTACGCATAATATATCACACAAAACGGTCGCCATTCGCGAAAACGAAAAAACAATCAAAATAATGTAAATTAAATATTGTTTTGTATACAATAATTTACATTACATTGATAAAAAGTCCGGGTTGTTGACAAAAAACTCAAAAGTAATGATAACAACGGATCGCTACTAATGACAAAAACGCTGATAGTATGTCAGTGAGATTATACGTTTTACATAGAATCTCCTTGAAAATGGCGTCTGGAGAATCCCTTTATCGATAATGTGACTTTAGTTCCCGCGCTTTAATATTGTAATGTACTTTTTTGTGTGCATACAATTTTAAATAAAGTATAATAGTTACCATTATATTTTGCATTCAATTTGACAAAAAATATATCCGATTCACTCAATGAACAAATTATATTTTACCATGTACCATATTCCATAAAGCTAAGCATTATTACCTAAGCATTTTAAGTAATATATACCGTTAATCGATACAGAGAATATTGTTATAATTGTTAATATTACAGTCAATTTGTTTAAGATTTCAGTAGTACCAAAATAATATTTTAAAACAAAAACATAAGTTTTCAATTTTATCATAGTAGTAGACGTAAAATTGTATTGCTTATTTTTTGGAGAATAGACTAACCGATCGTCTGCCCTATGAGTTTGTACTGTTTACTAATAATGAACTTTACATAAATATTCTTTGTATTATTAGTATACTTTACCTATTTTATAGAAATATATTCTTCAAAATCCCAAAAAATATTGTGCTTAGACTTAATATTTGTATGATAATACAAATATTGTGATAATTAAAAAAAAAACTGTAGTTTGTTTACACAAATAATTATAGGTAGACTATCAAATTATGACTATGTGTGGTAAAAGATTAAATTATCTACAATTCTATAATAATACAGAGCACTCAAATCATAGTACAATATATTATAATGTCATGATAATACCAAGAATATTAAAACCGGTGAATATCACCGAAATCTATTACATTTATTAGTTCAAATATTATTTCATAGGGAGCGCTTGTGGTATGAAATTACAATAAAATAACTTTATAGCGTCCTACAATACCACCTATAAAATAGTACCTACGTACGAATTAGGAAGTATAACCATGAATCATGATGAATGACGTTTTGAAAACATTACCTTAAGCTAGTACCTACGTGTTGAGTATTTTAACAGAATTGGTTATCAGAACACTAAGCACGTCCTATTATCTGTAATAAATGTGACATCTCACATATTTTATAGAATATAGTTTAACTGAGTAAAATAATAAAAAGTAGATGAGGAGAAAGTTTACTTGTATTGTTATAAGTAACAAGTTTAATATACTATTTAGTATAGGTATAAACTCAATTAAGCTATAAGGTCAACGCTTAACTACAGTTGTTTATAACGCTAATTAACAATTAACATTTCATTTATCGCTTCAATGGTTTTTATATTTTTTTGTATTTTTATTAAACCAAAAATATCACTGAAACACATAGGTACGGAATAAACAAATATCAGGTATTAAATAAAATATTTTTAATATCCCAACTCGTATCAAGTAGTTGAAGAGTCGTAAACATTATATTATCTTAAAATCGCTGAAATATAATGTTATTTTACATTACAACTGTAATTTAAATAAAAGTAAGAAAAAATCATTGTCAATTGAACATAAGTAATATTTAAAATTCTACAAATTAAAAAAAATAATTAAATTAAAAAAAAAAAAAAACGTTTAGGAACTCTCTTTCACTACGAGTCAACTTAACCTCTAATTAGGCGTTTACCTTGTTTATGTTTATCACATTGGTTTAAGTATCACATAAGTTAAAATATGGTAATTACAAGTCGAGATTAAATATAACTATTCTGTAATAACTTTATGAGCCAATATCATATGGGCCCTTAACGACGACATTGGCTTGCATGACTTCCAGCAAACTCTACAAATGCGCAATTTCCAGTACTGTTTTGGACAACCAAAATCATTGTGTGATTGGAGCTGATGTTGAAAACTGTAACTACGTCCGCAATTGCACGGGCACATGAACACGGTCCGCGGGCTAAGTAACATTTTCGCAAGTGTCTCTGTAACGTTGAGATAACACAATATTATACGGGAATTCTGTAAATACCATATTGAGTACAGGTATTTTTCAAAAGCCAACATTTATCCCCACACACGATCCGACACAAACACAGATTTGTAATATTATAACATATAAAATAACATAGTTACATGAAATTTCACTGTAACCACTGACCATTGTAACCGTTTAAGGACGAGCGAATGGTAAACTATGACGAGGCAACCACCGTTGCCAGCGGAATCCCTCATAAAATCTGTCGCCGTTTTTGTGTATAGCACTGCTTATCTGTATAGTCTATACTCTAAAATCAACGCTGTAACCTATTATTCCTGGGAATTTCACAAAATTTAACCGGCCACACACAAATAAAATCCTCTTATCAAAATATCATAAGAATTACACCAATAACCAAATTACTAAATGGTAAGGTAATTTTCAGGTTTATTTGCGACCGTCTAACTTTATTAAAATGCATCATAATATTATCCCTAATCATAACACGATAATAATGTTTAAAACCTTGTTTCAGCAGTGATAAGGTATGTAGATTACATTAGACGGTACTTCAAATTTTTCACCATTTTTTGATTCACCGCATCTGAAAAATATCAAATTTGACACAATAAAACAACTGCAAACTTGTATAACTAAAAATGTTCATATAGTCTGTGTCATTAGTAACAAGTAATAATTATTTAGTATTTAGTAACATTAGTAATGCTGAATATTACTGTACCTATAATTGATTATATAAAATATTCATCACAGAAAAAAGACAACGCCTATTAAATATATATATATTTTTTAAAATATTTATTCAAACGGCTACACGACTAACATATTTAACTAACAACGAAATGGCTATTTTATACGTTTTTTAAATAATAATCAACAATATCACACAAAATGTTATTCAAAATAGTTACAACAATATAACAATGACCTGTCTCATATTTTTATTCATATATACTTTCTTCTATTTAGGTATAAAAATCAGGAAGCAAATCTACTTTACCCGACATTTTTTTTAAACATTTTTTTATAACGTTTTAATTTTTGTTGCGAACCAATATTATTAGACATTACTTAATATAACAAAATACTAAATAATTTTAGTTTAGAAGTTATAGAAACCTTTTTCCCGCATTTCTGCTAACATATTCGATATTATAACTTAACCTAACCAAGCAGGTGAAAAAAAAGACGGCCACGAAGGACGACTGAATGAGGAACGCCGGCAGTAACGCCATAAAGTATTGTGCTGCGTACACCAATTTTCAGTAATATGAGCAATCTTTAAACGTCTAAGCTAATTGCGAGCAGCGCATAATTTTTGCAGATTCATAGTCAGCATGAAAAGTACGTTCGATAAAAAAAGGTGTCTGGTAAAGTAGATTTATACCAAACATAAAAGATAAGAAAAAATATGTTTCTTAAACTTGTTACTGTTGTGATCGCGTTTAATTTGCAAAATTCGACATAGAAACACGCGTTTAAGTAATATCATAAAATAATTAATGAAGCTAAGGTGGTCGTCAAATTAATAATATGAATGGATTATTATTCATATTTTTTATATTTTAATCAAATGCACCAAAATTAGTTGATATTTGGCGCAATTATAGATTATTTAGAATACAAAATAATTAATTTTTTACAACAGTGTTGTTCGTCAAGATCATTAATTGTACCCATAAAAAAAATTACATATATTGTTGAGCGTTTTTTTTTTTACAAATACATTTGTTAACAAAATTTGCTTGAGTTGTTAGTAGCGTTGCATTTCATTATTTGCTTTAATTTTTCGTCCAGTTCTTTCATCCGAAATTCGTGGGTCAAGCTTCTTTTTAAATCAGATCTTTTGATATTTGTACATAACCAATTACTGCCAGGCACGAACGGCAGTCCGGTGTGCCAACTGTTCCATAAGTACAGTCTAGTTTCTGAAAAACATCAAATTTGTATGTATAAGTATATTATACACACACGTACATACTATATGCAATGGTAGGTAATCATCTACAAAATGATAAAAACAAAATAGCACAATACCGTAAAAACCCGGTACAAGCTTGTATAAAATAACTATAAACAACTTTTTAATAATCAATATTAGAACATGAATACCTATCTACAAAATAAACACAACGTAATATTGGACATTTTAAATTCTTAGTAATTTTCAATACTAAAAGATAATCCGGTTTTAAAGATGTCGTTTAATAGTTATTTGGTTTTAGGATGTTTGACTATCATAAAGTAATTTACTACAATAGGCTTTCTTGTCTGAATTCTGAAAAAGAATAGGTACTGTTAATAGGATATAAAAAATAGGTATAGTTGCATTAAGTATTTTTATTCCATGTATTCTTGTCGAACAATAGGTACTTAATGGCATTAATACCTAATTCGAACAAAATTAACCAGTTTATTTTCTTCAATAAAAGTCTCAATTGTTACAGAAGCAAATTAATTTCGTATACTCACAATTATAACAGTAGGTATACTTATGTTAGGTTGACCTTAATATTTTCTGAAA